GTGAGCAGCAGCCTCTGCACAGGCGCCTAAGGAAGAAAAAGTTCTCTGTGATTTACTGACGTCCTGAACAGTAACACTTTGCTAAAAGTAACCATTTCTTTAATAAAAAATATATATTTTTCGAACTAGAAGAAGACAGATTTTCTTCTTGAAGTACTTCCACCACTGAAAGTGTCGAGGTGAAAATTAATGCACATTAAACTACTTTTGTGCAATAAATCAGAAAGGAGGAACAGCGTGAGGCAAACCACGACACATCGACAGCGAGACAGGCTTTTCTAAATATACTCTTTGAAAAAGAGCAAGAAGGATTTTTAAAAAACAGAGTAAAGCAATCTGTTCTCAACTCCTGTCCTCAAATGTGTTAAATAATTCAGGGTCCAACTCTTCCCTCACAGAGCACGAATTCAACCTGTGCATCCCCACGCGAGGTGGCATTTTTGCAAAGTCCTGAAAACTCTTGCTCATTTTAACTGAAGAATTATCCCACAACGCTGGAGTCTCTGACGATTTTCACATCACAAAAACAGAGTTTATGGAGAAACAGTTACTATAAACCCAAGTCAGGAAGTGCCCAAGCCCTCGTGGTGAGCCTGCTGCTGCCCAGGTGGGCTTCACATCTGGCTTTGGGCACTTGCTGGTGCTCCCATGGATGGGGTTGGCAATAGATCGGCCTTGGAGAACAGACTACAGTATATTGCACGCTAAGGAAAATTTAACACCACCAGTAAACATAGAAAAAGTCCCGTCTCATGCTCCAGAGGGGCTCACATTAGTGTTTAAATTCACTTTCCCTTGTCTTCTCAGTATAAGCTTATTGCTTCAGCTAAAATCTGGCGGGTTTTTTTAATCAAACTTGGTATTTTAAAGCAAGGAGTGTCACGGCCCAGTTCTTTAATAAACCCCACTGATATGGATCCTTCAATCCCTTGTAGCGTTCAGGGAAATCTGTGCTCACAGATCCTATTGCAGGGCAGGGGACTCAAAGGCTAATCTCTCTATATACTGTTCTTTTTCCTAGTTACATGGGGAGAAAAATGTGAGAAAATATGTAATTCCAGGGTACTGTGGCAGCATTAAACCACAGCTTCGTACCCCATATATTGCCTTTATTGACCATAATCTTGCAGAGCGTATTAAGGTAAATGGTAAACGGTTTAATGGCAGTTTAATATTCTGCACATACCCATAACAGACATTTTAGTTGCTTTTAATTGATGTAGCTGCTAGCTTTGTTAAACTCTCCAGGAGAGTAGTTCTCACTGGGAACGAGCCTCCTAGAAAGTATCAGTTTGCAAAAACACAATAGTTTGAGCTATAATTGTGTAGAAAGAGACTTCTGGATTTCTTTCCAGTTGAATAAGAGTGTTTTGTTTCACTTTTGTATAACTCAACATCGGGTGCCTAAATTATAGTCAAACTTTCCAAGCAGCCAAAGAAAGAAATACATGGGTTAAGTCACTTTTAAGATAAAACGGTGACTGGAAGATTTTAGCCAAACAGAACACTTTTATAGCTGAGAGCACATTAAAAAAAAAATGTAGGCGAAGTCCTGGTGTTACTTAAACAGTAGCTTTCAGCACTCATAAAAGATGCAGTATTAAATAATTTTCCACTTATAAATCAACTGGCCCTGGTCTATATGTTAGCACAAGCTTTAGCTGGTTTCTGGCTTCTTACTGGCCTTCACATAACTCCAGCTAAACCTGAATGAAATGCCGCTGGCATAGCACTGAACTCCAACTATTGCAACTAAAATTACGTATAAAACCAGACAGAGCACGCAGAAAACTATTGCAATCAGCAAAGAAAATTAAAGAGCTCTGCAATTAAAAACCCCTCTATTATTCCATTTGTCTGACTGGCAGCCGCACCTCCTGTTTGGGGGGGGACAAACAAAAGGGTAATCTCCTTGCAAAATAACTTTTAGATTTATTTTTAAGCTTGTAAAAATAGTAGAGGATCTGAAGGTGTGTCTCAGCAGGTTGTGCCTGCCTGTCTAGCACCGAGACTTTTTGCGTGATCAAAGAATACATGACAGCGAACGGATCTATGCTTGTAAATATCAAAAGGTTTGATCATACTAAAAGACTTTATTGAAGTTTCCCACTTTTTAATCAAACAAGAAACATCCACCTCCAGTAGCCACAAAAAAAGCTCTGGTATGATAGTAGAATAAAAGAAAGTACTAAATGTGACTTACGGATAAGAGGTTTTCTTCCTATAATATGAGACTTCCATTAATGTCATGTTTGTAGGCTGAGAGGAAACTGCAACCCTTATTATTTTATCTTAGCACAGTATAAAAGGGTTTGATTACACCAATATTAATAAGTCCATAACGGGCCACAAGAAATAAGCCATGTTCACGTACACAGCCTTTTAAAGAGAATTAAAAGCATAATAATGAAATGAATATATTACTGACTTCTTTTTTTTTTTTTTCCTCCTGCTTTATGGTGAAATCCACAGCATCAAAATCTGCAACTGGCCCGTGGAGAGGTTTTCTATACTATTTCTGTCGCTTAGTATGATAATTTGCCCCCCCCTCAAAAGAAGTTAAAACTGCCATTCTGAATGAACACATGGAGCTCTGAATAAAAAGAGCCAATAATTTACAGTAAGACGATAAGAGTGTAATATTGCTTTAATATAATGTATTAATGAAAATTGCCATTGTAAGATAGATAAGACTTAATAATATAGCTCTCATTGTGTTCTGTGAGTTGGAGGCTTTGGTAAGTTATAGGTTAGTGCTGCGTGGCTGGCGTGAATCCTGACACAATTTCGAAGACTCGCTGTTTCCAATGCCACCGGAGCCTAAATTTATTTTCCCTGGAAAAACCCAGGCAGGCACTTTCCTGCTCTGTCAGGTATTACTGCGCTCCTCCACCAGCTCCTGTCTGCTGCAGAGTTCGTGGAACATGTTTTTATTATTTTTAATGCAATTTAATACGTTTATTTTCATCCCACTTTATACATAGAGAGAATTAGCTTAGAAAATAAAGTCTCTGGGGTTTTTTTTAGTCTTTATTCTTCAACATACTGACATTTTTTAAATGGGCAATGGGGTGATTCAGAGAATGGCAGTTTAACATCTTGCCCTTATTTTTATGTCAGGGTAGCTCAGCACCGATCTGTAGTGCTCCTGCCACTTCTGCAAGCATCTTGTATCTGCAGCGATGAGGGCTTATACTCCTGTTTATTAAATGGCAGCTGGTTTATCTGCGCTAATTGCCAGGAAGAAAACTAAACTTCTTTCCTCTCTGCAGACCACTATTTATAGTTAGGAAGAGTAGCCCTGCACATATGCAGGGGGGCATTTGTGTGAATGAGGCTAACGTGCGGTTACAGCAATCTCTTCTGCCAGAAGTGAGGAAATTATTTTATTGATGTAAGAAGGCTGGATGAGCAAAAACCATGGCGTTTAAACCCAAAATGTGATTTCAAAGGGAAAAAAAAACAAAAGCTTTTGAGCAGGTCCGTGAAAAAAAAAAGTTATTTTTAACAGCGTGGGCTTTGATATCAGTATTTTGCCTGCACCTTTGGCAGATATTTTTCTAGTATTACTGAAGACACACAAACTGCAATTTGTTCTCCAGAAGGGTTAGAGACTGCTATGAGGGGAGCCAAGGAGGTGAGGGGATTTATCCAAATCTCTTGTTTTCTGAGAAAATCTTCCTAGAAGATGATGAGCTGTCCACATTATACCACGGACCATTCTGAGTTTTGTTTCTGAAACGCCCAGAAAGTTTTTCCGTACAAATCCGGCTACCAGAAATCCTGCCATCCATTTTGGAGGAAGTATATTGTTTTCAGAATAATTTGTTACTCGGTGTGTCTGCTTTTCTGGCACGACAGAGAGTAGCTCTATCATGGCAGATATGACAAGTAAGAAATATTTGTAAAAAAATCCAACCTGTTCTGGAAAGGTTTTTTTTGGGAAATTATTTGTCTGCACAAATTACAGAGAGAACAGATGGAGTTCTCCAGTGCTCTGGACTACGCTTTTTCAATAAGTATTAAAAATACACTGCTGCTTTAAAGTACACAAACTTATTTCTATGAACTTCTAGTGAGTCAAGTTTCACTGACTTCTAGTATTTTTTATGGGCTCCGTTTCTTACATCCTAAATAATGCTTACAGCCTTTAAATCTCAAAAACACACACCAATATTTACAAGCGTTGATGCTGAGATCAATATTTTCATGCATACTCTACCACTAACGGCAGCATGTTGAGGGAGGATAATCCAACTTCACTGATAATCTCGTACTATTTAGTGCCTTAAGTGATGTCCTTTTTAGATTCAGAAATGAATATAAAAGTTAAAAAAAACCCAACACTGAAAATGAGAGTGACAAATAGAGGAACGGAGGAAGATTTTAAATAAGCTATAATTAATTTTTGGAGGCATTTTCTTACTTTGTCAGGATTGAAAACAGGCCTTACTTACTTGAAATTACATATTTTACAGAGAAAGATAACATTTACAAAATACACCCTCCCTAGCAGGTGACGGCAGTGGGCTGGCCAGCACCTCTAAGGACAACTCTTGTCTGATGGCAATGAAGAGTTCATCTGAAAATGAACGGCACATTTCTAAACCTGCACTCTCATGGCTCGCAGTTCAGCTGAGTGGCCACAATCAGCAATTAAACGGAAGCAACAAATCCCTGTATTTTGTTGCAAGATGGTTAGTTTCATTTCTGACTTGGAAATGACAGCGCAGACACATAAAAAGCAAAAAAATCATGTAACACCAGGAGGAAAACATGCTGCGTTAGCTGGGATGCGCAAATTATGCTGCATTAATATGCACGAAAGAATTAAAAGAACTAAAAGCCTTTAAAAAAACTGATGTTTTTTAAAAAATAATGTAGTGTCATTGCTTATTCAACAACAGCCCACTTCTTCTCCAAAGCAGTACGCTGGGTTTGAAAAAAAACCCAACCCCACACCGCTGTAGAGAGAGCACATGTTACATCAGACACAGTACCTGATTTTTCACTGCACAGCTTGTCAGCTAGATAGTCTGCCTCTTGGGCGATAAGTGAGAATATTTCATCTTCATACTCTTCTACGATACTTTCCCATTGTAAGGATGAAAAAAAGGAGGATACTTGGACTGTGCTGGGTTTTTTTTTAGCTAGAAATAAGCAAGGCGAGAAGCCCCCAGCTTGCTCCGCTCTCCCTGCCATAAGCAGTGTGGGGCTGAATGGGGACTGCCCAAGAATTAATGCTACCAAATATTAGTTAAACTTAATGCCCAGCCTCACTGTTGTTTCAACCCCACATTCATGGGTTGGAGCTGGGGGGAACCCCTCCAAAAAGCATTTCACTCACTTAGGTACCCCCCCGCCTCTTTCAACATGGACTCAGAGAGGAGGCACTAGAAATTTAAATAAAACAAGCCCATTCTGTATTCTGATATTAGTGGTCAGGATGTGCAATAAATACAGCTCCCTGACCATGCAGATGCAGCTCTGATTTCACTACAGATAAGGCAGTAGACAGCACTGAGCTGCCGAGACCCCCCCCCCCGCCCAGTATTTAGGGACCTGCTGGTAATTCACCTCAGTGCCACAAAATGGGTCTCTGACCCCCTGGGAAGGGTGGGGGAGCATGGCTCCAAGAGGGTGCATCATCCAGCCTGGTGTTGGCATCTTTTAGGAAGCCTGGCTGCATATTAAGAGGGAATTCCTGTCCGAAATCCAGACTTCAACCCATAAACAAGAGGAAGCCCTTTAACATGGGTGAAGAAAAAACATACTGAAATTAAATCTACTTGCTGGAAGTCGTGCTCAGTACACACACACACACACACAAAAAAGGCTCTTTGCTGTGCTTTGCTAAAAAACATCAAACCAATATCTGCCAAGACATGCAATAAGCCCGAGCTGCCGGTGACCAAGGCAGAGCTGCTGCCTGTGCTCCTCGCCAGGAGCTCCGGCGCTTCGAGCAAGCACGCCTGCCTCTTTCAACTCCCCAACTGCTTGAAAGGCCACGGCCAGCACAACCCCGTGGCTTTTTTTTTGGGTCGTCTTTTTTTTTTTTTTTGCACGCTTTCCATGAGGGCTAAAAAAAAAAAAGACCCCAAAAGCATTAAAAAAAATTAAAATACATATTTGAAGAAGGTTCTGGCACGAAGCCAGACAGAGCACATCAGTGTTTTTAGCAGAATTAGCTGTGAAAAATCCATCCCTACGCCATGAGGCCTAAGAAAAAAAAAATGACAACCCTCCCCTCCTCCCATAATTTGTCCATAAATATTTGAAACTACTTTAGCAGCAATCTGGATTTTTAGACACTAGTACAATTCCCTTATTTCCTACACATAAATCAACAGAGATATTTTTCTGGGAAATGCTGATTTATATTTAATCACTTAGAAAAAAATTCCCCAATTAAAATGTAGTTTTGAACTGCTGGAGTTTAGGAAATTTGTAACGTAGAAAGCGTCTGGTATAATCCGTGAGTTACTTCTGCAAGTGACGTGCCTTTTGTAAATGCTTTATTCATATTTATGAAGCCCTAAATAGATCCGAATACGTTTCTAAATAACGTTATAAAGCATCTGACAAAACGCAGTGTTATCTCCAAATACTCAGCCAGTTTCTGCGAGGAGCCAGTATGGAGTGTGTTAAAATACAGCAAGAATCTTAAAACAAGGCTCGATCTGCATGAATTTCCTAGTGATGAGAAAGAGTGGGCACACTGACAGCTTGTGCTGGAAAATAAAAGGTTATTCATTCGTTACGTTGGCTTACCACAAAATTTCAAAGGTTTGTAAGCATCAGGTTAAACCCCACTTTTTTTTTTAAAGTCTGCATAGATTTTTCTCTTTTGCCTAGGAACAAATCTCTCCCATTCCTTTTTCTGTCCCAACAACTCGGTTAAGATGCTCTCTGACTTTGCTAAAGGAAGCTCATGGAGGCAAAAATTGACTTTTTTTTTCCTTATTATACCACCAAAACCCCCCACGTCACACAGATAATGCCTACTTAGATCACAGAAAGAGAAAAAGAGCATCCCTCTTGCCATGTAGGACCGTTGACACATTACATTACACACGTAATTAAAAACGTCAGCTCCAGCTAAGGTGGCCCTGCAGAACCTGCGCAGACCCTTCCGGCTCACGCCCAACGCGCCCCTCGCGCCCCTCGCCCTCCTCCAGAAGCCAGCCGCCCGGTTTGAAACCTCCCAGCAGCCCGAAGAGACCGCGGCGAAGGGAGACGGCCGGCGGCGGCGGATGTTTCGGGCCATGAAAGCCCTTGGCGCTCCAGCCACTTGTTTCTCTAGTTGAAGCGGAGTTTGCAAAAGTCCCGGGCTTTCAGTTGTTGCTCTGTCTTTTAGCCACTGCTCGCCAGCTCAGATGCAGCTGTTTAATACCTCCCAGGGGTTTTGTGAGGAAAATAATAGCTTACAAAACCTAGCTTCTCCCAGGTTCTACTATTTCAGCTTTATTTCCGAACAGCTGGTCCGTGTCTTTGTCCATCCCCTTCCCTCTTTCATATTCCTATACCAAGAAGCTAGCTCACATCACACAGTTTCGTTATTAGGTAACTAATTGAGCACTCAACCTGCCCGTAGATGATTACCTCAGGTGGTCTCCAGACAAAAAAAAAAAAAAACAAACCCACCCCAAACTTCGCGCCCCGTCTAGACAGGTCAAGGTGCAAGATGCTCCTCTCCCTGTTGCGTCTTCCGGAAAGGGGCGTGAACCGGAGCCAAGTGCACAGCAAACACCCGCGCCGCATCCCTGCCCCTTTAGAAGACTTCTTTTTTTTTTTTTTTTCTCTTCTTCTTCTTTTTCTCTCCACCCTCTGCTGATCAAAGTAGGAAGTTTTCATGACAACCATAGTCAAAGGGCCTGCATCGCAAATGAACTCGATTTCGGCGATGTTGATATATCCCGGCTCCATTGTCTCTTTTCAGACACAGTATGAACCCTTCCGGTCTCAATGATTACATTACAGAAGGACTTTCACATGTGGGCTTCATTTGCACAAAGGGGTTGCCTTGCTTCACCACCATCTGGCCACAAATCAGATAAATAAAGGCAGGAGAATTAAAATTAAAGCTTAGAGGGTTTTTTTCTCTCTCTCCCCCTTCATCTTCTTCTTGCACCGGGGCCCATTATGAAATCCCTCCCTCCCCCAGTCGCATACGGGTGGGGAGTCTACTTTTTATGAAACCTGGGAAAAGCAAAAAAGTGCCTAAAAAAAAAAAGGACAAAAAAATAAAAAGACTGCAGTCTTTCACTCCCAACCCTGTTTGTAGGGCAGCGTAACCTATTTTACAGTAGACAGGCTCATACAAAACCGCACTTTTCCATTAAAAGTCCATCTCATCCACTGGGATGTAAATATTTTTTTCAGGAAAACACAATCTCCCGCAAGCTGAAAAAAAGAAAGCTGGGGGCAGCAGAAGGCGGTGGCAGAAGTGGTGGGTGAAACTTGTGCTCCAAACTCTGCTGCTTCTTCCTCCTGCCGGGGCGGGGAGTGCAGAGGCTCAGGCAGCGCTCAGACACACAGCAAGCGCTTCACCCCCGCCAAAAAAAAAAAAAAAAAAAGAAATACATGGCAGTATCTGAACGTAGAAAATGAAACAACCTGCGAATGCGAGAGGAAGGTTCGACAGCCCCTATGACAGAAGGTGAGATTCAACTTCACAATCTAATTTGAGCCCTGGCATCACTTCTATCGAGGTCAGTGTGGCTCCGGGAGGGACTTTTTTTTTTTTGCAATCTGATTGCTATAGCAATAAATTGCACTAAGTTTCATCCCCCTTCTAAGCTACTTCCAGGACAGTAACTTAAGTCAGCTGATGGGGAAAGCCACTTTTCATGGCTGTATTTCTTTACACATAGAGATAGACAGTATCATAAGCAGAAGGGTTTTACTCTGTAAATTCTGGAAAAAAAGATTTTTCCACATCTATACTCCAACCAACATTGAAGTGTGTAGTCATATCTCCTGGTGCCCCTCTGCAGCCCCTTCCCGTGGCTTCCTGGCTGGTGAGGAATGCTGTGAGTGTGGCTGGGCCAAAGCCCACGGATGCCACAGGGAACCCTGCCCAAACACAGGGCACTCGCATCTCCTGAATGTTATCAAGTGCAGCAAAACCAAGCACCGACCTGGGAGAAAATGCATCCAACATCTGAAAAAAATAATGAACCCTGAAAATTCGTGTGACAAACCCCACAAATTTACAGAGAGGGTTTTGCTTCGTGTGCTTTCTTTTGGATGCACAAGAAAGTTTTTGTACACGTACTGGCACCTACGTGACGTGGTTCAGGCAGAGCATGGCTTGTCTTTAGCATTGTATTTAGGTTTGGGCTGTATTTCCTTGCCACAGTAATGAAAAGTATTTTAGAGATAGCATATACATAAAGAAGATGAATAAAAACGTAAGAGTATAACTTGCCAACAGTTGGGTTTATTAATTTTTTGTTTCTCTTTAATAAATTACTCATTGGGTGCATAATCTCTGCAGAACCTTGTCTTCTCTCATTTGTTTGGAGTCAGGCTCACGCTTTGGGTAGCAGCTATTATTATATGAGCACATTTCTTGTAAACCCATGGATGCAGAATCTACCAAGATAATCTATTAATTTCTGTCATCTATTTGTTGGGTTTTGCCTAAGGAAACTGTTGCAGAAATAAATGCAACTTGAATTTAAGTGAAGTATTTTTTGCTGAGCTGTGCTCTGCCCGGGTGTACAGAGCTCTAGGCAGTTGAGAGTGCTCTTTCTGAAAGTGTTTTAATAGTAAGAGAGGAATAAGTATTTGGACAAGTGGTGGAAAACTAAAGCCTTTCTTTCTATACTGTGAAGATTTTGAATAGTACTTGTCAATAAAGCAACTCCTATTGTAATTGTACCGGAGACATGGGCCTCCACCCCGAAAAAGCTGTCTCAGAGATACTAACCTCATTAAAATATGAATGAAAAGGCAGCCATCATTGTAATGGGACAAAACCATTTACTCGGCAACAAACTTTATCTGCTATCTTTTGTAAAAATATAAATATGATATCCAGAAGATATTTCATTACATTTGATGAGGAGGTTGATGAACACGTGATTTTTTTTTTTTAAAATTTTCAAATAAGTCGCAACATCTGATCCTTCCCCCCCTGCTTTTTCTACTGGGCATTTCAAAATTGGAAGTACCTTCAAATCATTTGAAATCTTTTAAAAAGGAAAAAAAAAAAGAGGGCTTTCTTTCTTTGGTTTTTTTTTTTTTTTTTTAAGGTTGAAGGAAACTTTCGCATTTATTTTTGTTTTGTTGGGTTTTTTTTTGTTTGGTATGTTTTGGTTTTTTTTTTTCCCCAGAATATCTCATCCAATTTCAAAACAAAACAAGAGAATTCATTACGGACTACTGTGACGACACCTTAATAACAGTCAATTATAGGGTGCTCAAATGCCTGTTCATTACTATGTCTCTGTTAATCTAGTCCTAAATTTCTTGCTTGATAGATACCACAACCAGCCAAGAATACAATTGCATTACAAAGTTCAATGAAAAATATACAAAATGTAACTGGAGGAAGTAGGCAGTTTCAAAATAACTGGGCTGTCAATCAAACATTTGTCAAAACAATTAGACATATCTGGTCATTTTTTTATAAAATATAGACAGACTCGGAATGGATACTACGCAAAGCTTTAGGTTTAAATAGGAATTGTTTCAAAGACTTGGAAATAAGTCTTTTAAAATGTTTCATGTAGTTTAATCATTATCTTTTCATCCACAAAAGTGTTCAAATCATTTTTGATATTAGTTAAAAGTCAATATTTAGAAGTGAAAATTCAAACCTCCTTTGCTCTAGGCTAAAACAGGAGCAACATGAATGCTGAGCTACTTTAAAGGCTGATGGGATATATAATTAGCTATTATGTTAATTGAATCCACTGTGAGTTTGTTGTATGAGATTTCTTCATATAATATGCAAATAGCTTCGAAGGTTTAGTTTTATTAGACAATATAATTAGAAATCTTCTAAAGGAGTGAATTCTAATGAGGCATAATAAAGCTTTGTAAAATATCTGTTTGCTGGGTGAGCAGACCACCTGGGCTTAATCAATACCGGGAACTTTATTGTCTAATGGCATATTTTAAAGAAAGTTTAAGAATTTACCTTCCTAGTTCCATCATCATAGTTTTATTTTAGGAGAAGAAGAGTTCATTTTAGCAAAGAAGGAGGTGAAATTCTTGTAAAAAGGAAGGAGGTGAAATTCTTGTAATCTGAGGGGAGGAAATAACTTCAAAAATAAACGGTTTGAATTCTGCTTATTTAAAAGAAAATAAAAATAAATTTTTTAAAAAACCCTCTCCCAGCTGTAGCGACAGTTATGTGCATCTCGAGATGCTTAAAGTGAAATGTTACATGAGCAAAGTTAGCCATTATTCCTGCCATTAAATGCCTGCTTCAAGCAGATGTACATACTTTAGCTTCTGTAGTGTAACTAATCAGCGTAACTTCACTTCTAGTAAGATAGCCCAACATGTTAATATGTGGAATTAAGCACTCTCTTCTAAAGGAAGAAATTCACACCAGGGTATTCCGGAGCTGGTCCCGAATTCCACCCTCACATTCCACTTGCTTTAAGACCACCACCAAAGACAAAGCTTAAACTATTTTAGCTAGTGCCAGAATGCCAAAAATGTATAATCTCTTGTCTAATTTTCCTTGTTCGCACTTCAGACTGTGCCAAAGCTGCACTATTCAGTCTTAATATTAATTGAAAATAATAAAGACAGGATACTTTGTGCTAGCATGGCATTCGGAGAAGGGCATTTTTTCTCCCCCCATAGACAATAATCAGTAGCAACACATTAAGAAAGAACCAGAAGCCCCGATTAAAGCAGCAGATTTAACCAAATCAAAAACCCCACATTATCACGGCAAGCGCCCTG